CAGCACTTTTTTGTAAACAAAATTTCAATATCGTGATAATACCGTATACCGTGATAAAAGCATTAGCAATTAATCGCAACATGAAAATTTGATACCGGCATACCCCTAATATATATATATATATATATATATATATATAGGCCTATACTTGTATATATAGGCTACATAATACTAAAATAACACTGCCATGCTTTTGACCAATGAGTTTTGATAGTGATTACTGGAATTTTACTGGAATTCTAAAAATTAAACTGAAAAAAAAAAAAAAAAACTCGAAATGCCATTAAAAGGTGTTTTAGATCTCAGCACAACAAAGACAGATTTATAACCAATACAAACATTTATATGGTTTTTCCATTAAATTCTGAAGATTTTAAGTAATTTCCATGACTTTTCCAGGCCTAATTTGAAAATTCCCTGGAATTTCCAGGTGTTCCATGACTGTAAGCACAGACTTCCACTGCTTACCTGGCATAGAAGCTTGTGTAGTTTTTGGAAAAGCATTCGCTGGCCCTCTGTTGTATTTCGCTTGCATTCCCAAAGCCCTGGCCCCTACCCCAACTGCCTTCTGTAGAGGTCACAGGGGTGAACATGTTAAAGACAGACTTCTGATCTTTCTGCTGACTGACAGCAGCTGTGGATGGGCCGGTCCCAAATAGGAAGCTCTGTCCACTTGAAGTGGTGACACCGCAAATGTTAATGGGTGTGCTGTGGAGAGCTGTCTGACAGTAGTTAGTCCCACCGTTGTTCTCCTGTTTGATGACCCCCGGAGTACACAGCTGGATTATAGAGTCCTTCTCCACCTTCACGGTGGGAAAGCTGATGGTGGTGGTGACCGTGTTGATGCTGGAGGGGCTGGAAGTGGTAGTCACGCCGTTGCTCATCGAGACGGCGGCTTTCAAGTCCCTCTCCGTATGTGTCGGCAAGTCTCCGAGCAGAGTATCATCACCTATGGTGGAGAGGAATGCGTCGTCCGCCACGTAGAAATCAGAGGGCGATCCGTCCAACTCGAAGTCCTGCAGGAGGTCCAGAGTGTTGTCACTAAAGAGCTTATGATTGCCAACATCGACATCTTTCCCAATTGGCCCAAAGGAATCTTGGTCAAGGTCCATATCGCCTTTATCCATGGGAGAAAACTCCTCTGTTTTTAAAGGAAAGAGATTGGGGTCGATTCCACCAATCAGAGAGTCCATTGAAGGAGAGACGCTATTGAGGTCTGCAATGCTGGCCTCCAGACTTGAGAAGCTGTCTCCCAAAGTGAAAGCGCCCAGGGTCTGGTGTTGCTGGGCCCTCTGCTCCTTCCCAAACACTTTGAGCTCTGAATCTTCCCCAAAGATGCCATAGGTGGAGGACACAGAAGTGGTGTGCTCCTCCAGAGTGGGCGAGTTGCTCAGGCCATTGGGAAGGTCCCCGGAAACCGGCTGCATCAGCGGATTGGGTTGAGGAACCAGCGAGGTGGGGGTGACAGACATGGCGCTTTGTATTCCGCTTCGTAAAATTCCCTCAACTGGGCTGTTGCTGTAATCCAACGTATTCAAATTATCATCTCTCTTGGCGCCGTTCTTCAGTCCTCCTTGATCCATCTTGCATTACTGTGGTAAAACAGAACAAAACAATTATAGTTTCTGAAACACCATAAATAACATCCCCGAGAAACCTTGTTTACCGCAAGTAACATGAAAACAAAACAAAACAAAACATTATTAAAGTTAGTAAAGTTTGAACAAAATTGCACCAAAAAAATAAATTATATATATATATCAATAATGTTTTTGTGTGTGTGTGTATATATATGTTGCCCCACCTCCAAAATAAAAAAATAAGCGAATGATAGATAATTTAAAAAATAAATATATATATATATAAAATTCACTTATTTAATTTGTTGTGGGGTTTTTTCTGTGTACTGGAACGTTTAGCAAGATAAATTCCTTGTGTGCATAATCATATTTGGTAATAATTCTAATTCTAAAATAGCATAGTTGCTACATTTGTTTAAAAAAAAATGGTAACACTTTACAATAAGGTATCATTTGTTAACACTAGTAAATGTATTAACTAACATGAACTAACAATGAACAATACATTTGTTACAGTATTTATTAATCTTTGTCAATGGTAATGAAAATACATTTATTCATTGTTAGTTCATGTTAATTCACAGTGCATTAACTAATGTTAACAAGCACACCTTTTGATTTTAATAATGTATTAGTAAATGTTGAAATTAACATTAACTAAGATCAATAAATGCTGTTGAAGTATTGTTCATGCTTAGTTCATGTTAACCAATACAATTAATTACCGTTAACTAATGATCCTTATTGTAAAGTGTTACCAAAAACAAACAAACAAACAAACAACTGGTAAATAAGTACTAGCCACAACAAGTTATAAAAAAAGAAATGAAACAAACTAACAAAAATGATTCTTAAGCTTCTTATAATAATTAATGGAGATTCAATATTAATTGATTTTACTGTAGTAACTACTACTGTTACTATAGTATTTTGTAAGATTTATGAACTATTTTGCATACACATCACATTTTATTGTATATAAGTATGATTTTTTTTTAAGTTTATCTCATGACTTTAGATGAGTTATCTAAATTTAAATGTATTAAAATAACAAAAGACCGTTAGCTAATTATTTGTCACTCACTTGACACTTACGTTACTAACATGCGCACTCTTGACTGAAGTCAAGAAAAATGGCATAATCTTTGACGCTACAAACACTATTTTGTCCAAACGCTGCAGCTAAATCCATGAGGATTTACTGCCTCTTATGTCCCTCGACTAATATTAAAATAAACGGATAAAAATCCCAAATCTGTCGCGCTCCGCATCAAGCACACGCACTGAGGCCTAGTTGCTACTGCTAATCCACTGCAAGCAGACGAGATAATCATTTCACATTTAGAATATAAAACCTTAAATAACGCGTGATACCTACGAAACAACATAGCACAAATGATTCAACGACAAATCGTGAAAAACAACTCACGAGTTCAGTCGATGAGAGTAAACACGACGAAACTAGCTGATTGTACTTTTACGCGATCAACGCCGATATTTGTACTCAGGGGCGCAGTTAACACGAAAAAAAAAATCGGGTTGAAGGTCGAAATAACGTACGTACCTGTTGATATCTACGTTCCCGTTTTGATTTGTTGCATCATCTGACATTGTTTTGTTTAGACGTTGCCGCTGTTAGCGATTAGCAACAACAACAACAACGCGAAAGCCTCCGCCGCGGTCTGAGCTCGTTTCACGAGAGCGAGAAAAACCGCAAGCTGCGTAGAAAGATCGCAGCTCGGATATCGTCCGGATTCATAACACCGTCTGGGTAATCCAGGCAATTTACTCGTTTTCGGCCATGAGGAAGGAGGCGTGCCATAAAACCCTAAATCATAAAAACATTCAAAATGGAGATTACAGTAGAGAAATCCCTGTTTACAACGTGCAGTGCGACCTATTGGCTGCACCGAGTTATTACAGCTAGCCTCTTATTACAGTGACTTCATAGACGTGAGTAACCTCGTGAAATCACCATAAAACTAATCACACTGCCTTCTCTCCCTCTGTCACTGCTTCTGTCTCTGCTGTCTCCGTCTGCCCTTATTCAATTCAGTTCAGTTCAATTCAAAACTGCTTTTTTTACATGACTGTAAAAAATACAATATTGCCAAAGCTTGGAATGAATATAGGCCTAATTATGCGGGGAAACATAATAACCAGTGTTGGGCAGTAACTAATTACAGTAATAAAATAACTTTTTGCAGTAACTAGTAGTGTAACTAATTACTATTAAGATTACAGTTGCCATCAATAAAAAAGCTCGTTACTTAGTTACTTTTGATGCCTCAACCCCTACTGATTTGAAATCCAATAATTCCGAGATTTATTTTCATAATTTTCACGACTCGCGCAGGCACAATAATCCATTTCACATTTTTACATAATGATTTTTTTTTTTTATTCAATTAGTCACATAAAGAGTGTAAAGGTGTTCAGCATAAATATTAACATATACAGTAGCCCATGTAAGCTTATAAAATCTACAATCAGGAACTGAGAATGCAATACTATTTTCCAAACTGTTTATTTTCAAACAAGCAAACTCATTTTGGCAAACTCATTTTCAAACATTTTCAAACGAATGGTCACAAAAGACTAACAGGTTTAATGTATATTCAAGATCACGTTTTATTTTCAGATGTGGCAGGTCTGCAATTCATTGTCAACAACCAACCAAAACTACATCAATGGCCTCTGCTGTCAGTAATTACATTATTCATTACATGACATTTTTGAAATGGATAAAAAGTAAAAGGAATTTTTTTGTCAGTTAAACAAAAAAAAGTTTTTTAATTTATTTATTACCACAAAACATTCTAATATCTATTTTCTTAAATTCTTGAATGAAGCAGACTACATTGTGTCACATAAATGGAAGTAATATTTCAAGGGTTTAATGTAACAGTGTTCATTTCATGTATAATGGCTGCTAATCACTGCTATTATAGTAATTATTGTGGGTGACAACTAAATACTTCCACCTAGCGGATGTTTTTTGTTTGATAGGTAGGTTTTGGAGTAGAAATATCTTAAAAGTACTTTTGATGAGTTTGATGAATTAGAAACACTCAAGAAAGCACTTCATGCTCTTACTTCGTTTGCATATCTTCCTTTTTACTGATGTCATTCGTGGTTTCTGCACTGGTTTTGTGTCTATATATTGCACATGCAACAACATGCTTACCACTGTGTATTAATAATCAGTAGTGCATCACGACTGGCACAGATAATCAAACTATTTTCAGCTGTACAATGTTGATTGTGAGGGTAAGCAACTAAACTAGCATTAAAAGTCATCATGACAGATCAATTCTTCCCACCACAAAGCGACATGCCTGAAAGAAAATGGTTATTATTAGGGATGAATTTGAATTTCTTTTTTACCTACTTGAGGCACAGCTTGCAGGAAAGAAAGACAGATGCATAAATTGAGGCGGTGTGTATGTTTTTGTGTAAAACCAATAATTCCGAGATTTATTTTCATAATTTTCACGACTCGCGCAGGCACAATAATCCATTTCACATTTTTACATAATGATTTTTTTTTTTTATTCAATTAGTCACATAAAGAGTGTAAAGGTGTTCAGCATAAATATTAACATATACAGTAGCCCATGTAAGCTTATAAAATCTACAATCAGGAACTGAGAATGCAATACTATTTTCCAAACTGTTTATTTTCAAACAAGCAAACTCATTTTGGCAAACTCATTTTCAAACATTTTCAAACGAATGGTCACAAAAGACTAACAGGTTTAATGTATATTCAAGATCACGTTTTATTTTCAGATGTGGCAGGTCTGCAATTCATTGTCAACAACCAACCAAAACTACATCAATGGCCTCTGCTGTCAGTAATTACATTATTCATTACATGACATTTTTGAAATGGATAAAAGGTAAAAGGAATTTTTTTGTCAGTTAAACAAAAAAAAGTTTTTTAATTTATTTATTACCACAAAACATTCTAATATCTATTTTCTTAAATTCTTGAATGAAGCAGACTACATTGTGTCACATAAATGGAAGTAATATTTCAAGGGTTTAATGTAACAGTGTTCATTTCATGTATAATGGCTGCTAATCACTGCTATTATAGTAATTATTGTGGGTGACAACTAAATACTTCCACCTAGCGGATGTTTTTTGTTTGATAGGTAGGTTTTGGAGTAGAAATATCTTAAAAGTACTTTTGATGAGTTTGATGAATTAGAAACACTCAAGAAAGCACTTCATGCTCTTACTTCGTTTGCATATCTTCCTTTTTACTGATGTCATTCGTGGTTTCTGCACTGGTTTTGTGTCTATATATTGCACATGCAACAACATGCTTACCACTGTGTATTAATAATCAGTAGTGCATCACGACTGGCACAGATAATCAAACTATTTTCAGCTGTACAATGTTGATTGTGAGGGTAAGCAACTAAACTAGCATTAAAAGTCATCATGACAGATCAATTCTTCCCACCACAAAGCGACATGCCTGAAAGAAAATGGTTATTATTAGGGATGAATTTGAATTTCTTTTTTACCTACTTGAGGCACAGCTTGCAGGAAAGAAAGACAGATGCATAAATTGAGGCGGTGTGTATGTTTTTGTGTAAAATGGGTGGAGGTGGACATACAGTGGGTACGGAAAGTATTCAGACCCCCTTAAATTTTTCACTCTTTGTTATATTGCAGCCATTTGCTAAAATCATTTAAGTTAATTTTTTTTCCTCATTAATGTACACACAGCACCTCATATTGACAGAAAAACACAGAATTGTTGACATTTTTGCAAATTTATTAAAAAAGAAAAACTGAAAAATGCTCAGTATTTAGTAGAAGCACCCATTTGATCTAATACAGCCATGAGTCTTTTTGGGAAAGATGCAACAAGTTTTTCACAACTGGATTTGGGGATCCTCTGCCATTCCCTCTTGCAGATCCACTCCAGTTCTGTCAGGTTGGATGGTAAACGTTGGTGGAAAGCCATTTTTAGGTCTCTCCAGAGATGCTCAATTGGGTTTAAGTCAGGGATCTGGCTGGGCCATTGGGGTGCTGTGTGTACATTAATGAGGGAAAAAAATTAACTTAAATGATTTTAGCAAATGGCTGCAATATAACAAAGAGTGAAAAATTTAAGGGGGTCTGAATACTTTCCGTACCCACTGTAAATCAATTTATTTGTGTTGATTTTCAAAACTATCAGGAATAATGAAGCCATTAGAAATCACTAGGCAATGTGTTTACTGCAGGGAACAGGATCAAATCCTTTCACTCAAAAGCAGAAAAATAAATAATTGCAATAATGGCACTCTTCTGGCTTCATTAAGCATGAAGGCAGCCCCACAGCCCTCCGAATGCAGAAACATCCACATAAATGGCTCCTCTCTGAGGCAGGGGTGGCTGAAATCCAGAGAATACTGAAAATCTAGGTCAATGGATTGCTGCACAGCTATGATGACTCCCTTTTCCGAAGTGTATGCTTTATGCGTATGGATGGATGAAAACCACACAGTCTGACCAGTAATCGTAAAAAAAAAATATATATAATATGTGTTTATTATCTGTAATGCAACATGCATGCTTTGCATTAATCTGTGGATGAATGGGGTAATGCAAATTTGAATTTGATTTATTGCATTGCATTTGTTAGTTTACACTTTATACATTTTCCCGTGATCGAAAACACTCCAGACAGGGCTGAACGAGTGGTAGATGTGCACCTGAAGAGTTGTCCTGCATTATTCAAGTGTTTTAAAGGCAGTGGCTGCAGGCATGTCTTAACTTTGCATGTCATCGTGTGGAGTCTTACCTGCTTTAAAATGAAGACTGGATCAAATCAAACAGACAAAGTACATGTTGGCAGTCTAGCATTCATATCATCTGAGAATGTGTATTTATAGCAGTCCCTCATGAGAGGGAACAAACGTCAGCTTGAATTCTGAAGATATAATTATGTTCATGTATTACTGAAGGTATTAATGCAACAAGCTGCAAGTCTTTTATAATGAAACGTTATTGCAGATAAAAAGAAAACAGCAGAGCGTTTGCCATCTGAGTCCCACTCACAGTTTCTCCTTTCGGTGCCTAGCAACACTTTTTCAGCAGAATACACAAAATTAGCAGGGTATGCGTGACCACAGACACAAAGCCGAGCCCACAAATTCCTTGAAACAAGATCAGCACACAATGCCAAAGGTTTGCTTACTAAAATAAACATGTTCTCTAACTCAAAGAATCCTCTGGGTGCACACAATCTTGTGAGAGTTACTCACAATGCCATTAAATCTGTGATGTAAAGTCAGAGTGGATTTCATAAATTGTTTGGTAAGAGCAAAGGCGATAGGAACTGAAATGCTGCTGAGTTGTAGTAGTGACAAGAGATATACATTACACAAAACCGATGCACTATCGAACATCATGTAATACTCAAATTACTGTAAAATATATGTTAGCTTGCTTAGTAAAAGCAGCCAAATGGAGCCAAGTTTGTGAGGATCTGTCCGTGGTCCTGAAACCATAACATACCCTCAAAAGCTAATCTCTGGAAAGACGTGGGATTTGAGCTCAACCACTGTTAAAGGAATAGTTCACCCAAAAATGAAAAACTTGATTACAATTTACATACAAGATGTAGATGAGTTTGTTTCCTCATCAGAACAGATTTGGATAAATGTAGCATTACATCACTTGCTCAGCAATGGATCCTCTGCAGTGAATGGGTGCCGTCAGAATGAGAGTCTAAACAGCTGATAAAAACATCACAATAATCCACACCACTCCAGTCCATCAGTTAACATCTTGAGAAGCCAAAAGATGCATGTTTGTAAGAAACAAATCCATCATTAAGACGTTTTTAACTTCAAACCATTGCTTACTAAATATGAGTATGAAAATACAAGTCCTATTTTTAGAATA